AATAAATTTGATATACGTCTAAACAAAACAATTTATATCTCTAAATTGTCGTGAAGGACTATATTAAATAAATAGATGACAATATTAAAATCTATGTGGTGCGCAGAGAGAGAGAACGAGACATTTATATTATGCTAATGACAACAAAATTTAAACAACATTTATATTCGATGAGTGTCGGAGTCTAATTTGATAGCACGAAACGAAAGTAATCATCGACGGACCATATTTCATTATCACCAAAGTAGCGCCGGTGGATTCTGACACGTGGAAGCCTACGCGTCTCTAAGCCATTACTCTCTCTCTCTTCTCGGGCTCTCGTCTATTTGACGGCTCTGTGCTGTATCTTGTGATCACCTCAAACAACCAAGAACATAAAAAGAAAATATTAAATTTAATGAAGATGTATAATTTCGAGGGAAAACCCAGAAAGTGGAACGAAGAAATTGAATCAGAGGTACGATCACAAGACTAAAGTTTTGAACTTTTATCGGCTTGGGATTTCGAAAGATGGTTATGTTATTCAACGGAGAACCTCATGTTTATTTTTTTTGCCATTTTTTTAAAATTGTAGTGATAAATTCTTTCGCTTTCTGGAAGCCCAGAAGACGATTAGATGCTTTTGATACCAATTTCGTTAGGAGAGGAAACTGAGACCGTCTGCATTTATTGATCACTTTCTTATTTCGTGATTAGTTCTTGTTAGGTAAAAACAGGTTTCTCCCTTCTTCGATTAAGCAAATGTCCTGCATTTCTTGACACGTAAAGGGCTCTGCTTTTGCGTTTTGATTCATCTAAACCCCTAGCTTTTCTCTCTTTGTCGTCTTTCAATGCCGTAAGTCTCGGGTATTTACTTTGTATCTCTCTCTCTCTCTGGTGATAGATTCGAGAAAGAGCCGCTTCTATATCGTACCTTAGTCAGTTTGTTTGAAGATTGTGAGAGGAGCAGTGACAACAAGGGAAGGGTCGTCGGAGGAATTGGGCAGGTGCTTCCAGAAGCTGGTTATGGCGGGTTCTGGGGTGATGAAGATGGAGGGTTTGGCGATTAAGGAGTGGAAAGACATCCCGGTGGAGCTTCTGATGAGGATCCTTACACTTGTTGACGATCGGACGGTGATCATTGCCTCTGGTGTTTGCAGTGGCTGGAGAGACATCATCTGCTTTGGCCTCACTCATCTTTCCCTCTCTTGGTATGTATACATACATACATACACCCTTTTGGCATAATCATCAGATTCATTTGTGGTGTTTTTATCTATGTGACGAAGCTTGAAGTAGAAGGGCTGATCATAAGCACGGATATAGTAGATGTTTCTAGATGCTGTGGCTTTGCTTTTGTTGGCAGAGATGTCTGGTTTGGACAAAGCTTAAGGTCTTTTGATGTTTTTGTGTGCTTTGAGGGAAGATAAAACTGACATAGCCCGCTTTAAAAGTCTTTTCTTGGGGTTGTAATTCGTAAAGGATCAAACTTTACGCGTATTTATGATAAGGTTTTGGTATTGGATCGAGTTCTATCAAAGAACGCAGAATTAGGCTCTCTAACTCGGATGAAAGAGAGCGAGAATCTCGTCGACATCTTCTGAGTGATTCTTTTGGTGTTTCTTGAACCACTTTGTATCGATAGAAGGTTGTTCTCGTTACCCTTTTCGGTTGGTGTATCGGTCCCATTGAAGATATATATCTGTTCTCTTGGAAAAGTAGGAGGTGAATTCTAGTTGATTGGATAATCTGTTGCTTCTCCAGGTGCAAGACGAACATGAGCAGCTTGGTTCTCTCTCTTGCTCCAAAGTTCACAAAGTTGCAGGCTTTAGCACTGCGTCAGGACATTCCACAACTGGAAGACAACTCTGTGGAAGCCATAGCGAATAACTGTCACGAGCTACAAGATCTAGATCTAAGCAAAAGCTTCAAGCTTTCCGATCGTTCACTCTATGATCTATCCCGCGGTTGCCCAAACCTCACGAAACTCAACATCAGCGGCTGCACTTCGTTCAGCGACACGGGTCTTGCCTATCTGACGAATTCTTGCCGGAAGCTCAAAGCTCTGAATCTCTGCGGATGTGTGAAAGCTGCTACCGACAATGCATTGCAGGTCGTCTTTTCTCTCTCTCTCTCTCTCTCTCTCTCTGGAATGATCTGAGAAATTCTTGCATCATCATGAATGGTATTTGCCTGCAGGCGATTGGGCGTAACTGCAGCCAAATGCAGTCCCTGAATCTTGGATGGTGTGATGATATAAGTGATGATGGGGTTATGAGCTTAGCATATGGTTGCCCTGATCTCAGGACTCTGGACCTCTGTGGATGTGTTCGCATCACAGGTGATTCTCTCCCACTCACCTTCTATAGAAACCAACAGGGAGTTAGTACCAGAGGTCTGATGTTATGTCAATATGTTTTCAAAGCCAACGTAGAAGTGACACTGGATGGTGACAATCAATCAGATCATATTGCTCAAAATAGGGGTGGACAAAAATAAAACCGAATTTCGGAGTACCGGCTATTATATGAGATGAGATTGGGTTTGGTTACGAGGAAAACCCGAAAAGTTTTGGGTCTAGGTTAGGTCCGAGATGGGCATTATCGCGGGTATCCGGATGAACAGCTTACCTTTTTGTCAGTGTGTATCTATGGTACCCGAGAGTTATTGCGGACACCTGAGGTTTGGATATCCGACTAAATTTCGAATCTGAGATCTGGTTACATCTCGTGAGACCCGAGACATTCAGGCCAGATTCGAGTACCCGACCCGCGTACCCACCTCGAGAACTTCAAAAGTCCCAACTGTGGGTTTGATTGATTCTTTCTTTCAATATGGCAGACGAAAGTGTGGTAGCAGGCTCGGCCCCAGTATTCTCCTCCGCCGGAGCAACAACATCAGGGTTTTCACTCGCCATCTCTACCGATTCTGAGCTTTACCATAAGACATTGGAATAAGAAACAGAGAAGACAAAATTATGATCGTAGACGACAAGCAAAAGGAGAAGAAATTCATCCTAGTACCTTCAACTCTGCTTCTTATAATTTCTTTCTTCTCCGCCTATTCATGAAATTGAAGCAGATCGAAAATACAGACAACCCTCAAGATTTTTCAGTTTTGCAAAATGCCACTGTTGAATTATATATTAACAGAAAAGTCCCTCATGTAAACTAATTTTACAAGTTGAGCTCCTCGTTGGGCCTAAAGGTCGGGCCCACTGACACATTTATGGGCTGGATTGGCTAAACTAATGCTCCACGTGTCAAGATCTTAATTCATCGTCCCGTCTTGAAACGAGCGGCTCTGATTTCGTTTCCCTTCCCTTTGGCGGCTGGCAAAAACACGATCCACCGAGTTATATAGGAGAAGAGGAGACATTGCAACGCTTCAGGATCCATTAACAGGAAGAAGACGAAGAAGAAGAAACAATGGCGTTGAAGTTTCTGAACAAGAAGGGATGGCATACGGGGAGTCTCCGTAACATAGAGAACGTATGGAAGGCCGAGCAAAAGAACGAAGCCGAGCAGAAGAAGCTCGAGGAGCTCCGCCTCCAGATCCAACAGGAGAGGGAGCGTTCTGAGTTTCGCGCTCTCCAGGAACAGGCCGGTCTCGCTCCGTAAGTGTTTATCCTCTCTTGTCTTGCGTTCGAACGAATTCGAATCGCTTGTTATCTTGAATTGGGGATTAGGGCTAGGATTCAACGCTAGAAATAAATTTTGAATCTTATCGATTCGGAATGTTTTTCAGAATGTCATTTGAGAGGTATCAATGGTAATTAGCGGTGGAATTTGAATTTTACCGGTTGTAATAGATCGGTTTTGCTTTGTAGCCTGTCTAGGGTTTTGGGTTTAGTTTTTGCCCAATATCGCGACGTATACGGTGGTATAAAATCGAAGTTATTTACGAAACTGTATATGTTTCTTCTTGCAGGAGGCAGGAAAGACTGGAGTTTCTATACGATTCAGGGCTTGCGGTAGGGAAGCCAAATGCCAGTAGTTCAGGGCATGGTGTTTCGTTTCAAACTCAAGAACAACCAGCCAAAGCTGATACCAGTAATATTAGCAATAACGCACAGCAGCAACAGTCAGCTCCTGGTGCGTTGTTTGAGGATAAGTCACACTCTGCGAATGATGCCTGGCGCAAACTCCACTCCGACCCTTTACTTCTTATCAGGCAGCGTGAGCAAGAAGCACTTACGCGGATCAAGAACAACCCTGTAAAGATGGCCATGATTCGCAAATCTGTAAGTTCTTCGTCTTCAGTTATGCTTTGTTCCTGTATCTCTGGTAACTATTATAATTCTACTCAAATCCCCTGTGTTTTCCCCTTCAGTTGAGTTATTTACGTGCTAGAGATTGTCTTCTTGGTAGGTAAAAGGAAAGGAAAAGGTGAAAGATGGAGATGGGAAGGAGCACAAGAAAAAGCATCATGGTAGTGGGTCGAAGCAACGCAAACATTCTTCATCCAGGCACTATTCTGATTCAGAAGAAGATTCTGCTGAAGAGAGTAAAGGAAGAAAATCCCGTCACAAAACGTCGAGGAATTATGACAAACGCTATGAGAGAACAAGGTCAGATTCGGAGGAGGAAGCAGAGATAAGAGAAAGTCGTGGGGATACTCGACACAAGGGAAAGTACCGAGATCACTCACCTTTACGGCGATCAGAGAGGGACAGTCATAAGAGATCTGATTCGGAGGATGAATCGAAGAGAAGAGAGATTCGTAGGGATACTCGAGACAAGGAGAAGCATCGAGATAACTCGCCTTTCCGGCGCCCAGAAAGAGACAATCACAAGAGTTACAATCAAGAGATTAGGAAAAGAAATGATGAGGATTCAAATCGAGAAAAATATGCCTCCAAGGACAGGGAGGATGGAACCGCTCGTAGAGGTTCAGTTGCAGAAAGGGAACATGAAATTCATCATAGACGACGGAAAACTGCCCCGAAACTAACGGAGGAAGAGAGAGCTGCTAGACTGAGGCAAATGCAAATGGATGCGGAGTTGCATGATGAGCAAAGATATAAAAGATTGAAGAAGGCGGATGAAGCCGACAAGCGGGAATCTAACCAGGACAGTGTTGTACAACGTGCAGGCAAAAGCTTTCTGGACGCTGCTCACAAAAGCGTATATGGAACTGAGAAAGGCGGAAGCTCGACTATCGAAGAAAGTGTTCGTCGCAGAGCTTACTATTCGCAGCGTGGGTCCGAGGCTGAAGGCAATGCCTTCCGCCGTTGATGCAAATACACACCGCGTGGGTATGCAGTCCATTTATACAAACAACACCACCAGGTTAGTGGCTTCACATGTCCAGAGACTAATCTCATGAAATGGCAAATGGGTCATAAAAAAATTGTAACTTTTTGCTTACCCCGTGCTTGATTGAATTTACAGGACATGAGTGAGAACGGTTAATCATCGAAACGCGAGCATCCCAATTGTGGGTAAAGTCTGTTTCTATAATCTAAATTGTTACCTCCGTAGATCGTTACCTCGCGGGCTTTGTATTCTTCATCCCTGTTGAAAATTCAGGCACTCTGCTTTGCCTTTGCTATGATATATTTCACCATTTTCATGGAGCTCTGATGCGCGTCCCTTTTAGGGCATGGGCCTGTAAACGTATCGACGCGTTTTCATTTGGGCCCTCGTCCCCTTTTAGGGTCCAACCTCACAATGTGGAATTTGGCGTAATTGAATCAAAACATTCCACCCAAAGGGAGAGAGGGAATCAGCCAAAATAGAGAGGCGACGGGCCAAAACTCAAAAGGAGAGGTCGGCATCACTCACAAGTCGAAGCCCCCGTGACAAGAGTCTCTTTTCAAAGTATAATTCGCCAGATTCCCCTTCGGCCACGGGACTCCCTTCGTCACGTTTTTGTTTATTTTTGTCGTTCGAAGCGATAATGTTTGGCGGCGTACGTATCGTATGCTCCCAAAACTTTCCAATCAAATTTCCTCTCAAATAGTACCGGTGGCCGTCGTCTCGTAAGAATTGAGTTTTATTTTATCTGATTTTTATTTCCTCCACACGAGTGGATGGTATCGTAGCCCCCAAAGATAATTCCACTACTCCTTTCCATAGCACGTATTTTTGCACCGACAAAAAATGCATACGTACATATAGGTTCAGCATACCGAACATTGTTCTTGAGGAAAGGGATAAGAAAAGAGATAAGCCTCCCAATGACCACGCGCTCTCCACAGCGCGTGTTTTTCCTACGTAACGAAACCCATATAAATTTTTTTTTCTCTGTTTCTTCCGTCTCCAAAGACGCTCAAGATTCTAAAAATGGCGATGATAACGATGGCCAAGGCAACTTCACTCTGCAGCACCAACCCGACGATATCATCCAGAATCCGATCAAACCCACGTGCCTTCAGATCGGTCAATCCGACGGCGAGAATGCAGACACGTTTCCATCGCCTGATCGAAGATCAGGGTATCGTTCTCATGCCCGGATGCTCCGACGCCTTATCGGCGGCTATTGTGCAGCAGACCGGATTCTCCGCCGGATTCATCTCTGGATACGCCGTCTCCGCCTCTCTCCTCGGAAAACCCGACTTCGGTTTGCTCACGTGCGCCTGGAATTTCACTGTTTGTCTTCGTTTCCCCTCTCGTAATGCCTCTTTTGTCGTTTCATTTGTTTCCCTTTGTCGTTTCAGACCGCCGGAGATGGCGGCGACGGCAAGATCGGTTTGTGCGTCGGCTCCGAAGATACCCATCATCGCGGATGCCGGTAAGTTTTAACTTTGAGTGTCCTTGGGTCATTACAATGGTGATTTCTGATTACGAACCGAGTTACTGGTTTGCTTACACACTGTATGTGCTCAAGAAACATTGAAAAGGTATGAGAATTGATCGGGATTTTATCCTCTTATGATCTCCGATTCTTGGAATGGCTTCTTCCTTGGTAGCTGAGATGGAAGTTTTGACCTTTCTTGCTTCTGTTGCTCAAGCATTTGCTCAGAGGCAATGCGTTTCATCTCATAGCTTATGCTATTGATAGAAAATTCCGCTGTTTATTGGAACGTGAAATCAATCTCTTGATGGATATATGAATCAAAGATTAACCCAGTAATCAAAATTCTTTTTTTGTTGTGATCAGATACGGGTGGTGGCAATGCCCTTAACGTTCAAAGAACCATAAAGGAATTGATTGCAGCAGGTGCTGCTGGTTGCTTCCTTGAGGTAACTTTTTTCCCTTTTCGACATTGTTGTTCATCATCTCCTCGTCATCTGTTCGGGTAAATAGAAGTGTTTTATACCAGATTGATCATAAAAATCGCATCTGGTTTTGGCCATTGTAGAACTTCTGTTTCAGAATTTTCAACTATCAGAATCTAGTTTCATAAAAATCGCATCTTTCTATGGTGTATTTACCCCTCTCGAGATTTGATAAGCACCTTCTGGTGAAATCGGTTATTTCATTCTCAAGCTAGTTTTAGCTGCACCGGAGTCTTTACAAGATTATGAATTACAACCATGAGCAAGCTCATAACCTGTTACTGATGTTATTTTGGGTTCTTTACAGGACCAGGCATGGCCAAAGAAGTGCGGTAAGAAACCTAATATATCTTTCTTTTCTTCTGTTTTGTTTTTTTCATTGCAAATCTGTAAGCTTCTATCAAAGATCTCAACTAATTATTTTCGTTTCCCATTGTAATTCGAGCAGGTCATATGCGAGGGAAACAGGTACCGATTTCTGTTTCTGTTCTTTGGTTCTTGAATCCAAGGTAGAATAGATGATGTTACAAGCTTTGGCTTTCTTGTTTGGGAACAGGTCATACCTGCAGAAGAACATGCTGCCAAAATAGCATCAGCCAGAGATGCTATCGGAGATTCCGATTTTTTCCTCGTGGCTAGGACTGATGCCCGTGCTACATCTGCAAAGTCGGGTCTTTCGGATGCCATAGCTCGAGCCAATCTTTACATGGAGGTAAAAAAACATCATGTGTGTTCTAAATCATGAAAAATGTTCAGAAGCATTGAAATCGGTGGTACTGTTCAGGCAGGAGCTGATGCTTCCTTTGTCGAGGCACCGAGGGATG